CTCATCCAGGCTGGCCAGGCACCCCAGTGGGGACCCCCACCCTGAAGGGGGTGTGACCAGCTCCAAACAGCCATTATCCCCTCATCCAGGCTGGCCAGGCACCCAAGCGGGACCCCCACCCTGATCCGGGACACCCTTCAGGGCAAACCAGCCGGCCCCCACCCGTGCACCAGGCCTCTATCCTATATAGTAAAAGGGTAATATGCAAACTGACCCTAACAGCAGAAAGACTGGGAATGACTGGTCACTATGACACACACTGACCACCAGGGGGCAGACGCTCAATGCAGGAGCTGCCCCCTGGTGGTCAGTGCGCTCCCACATGGGGGAGCTCTGCTCAGCCACAAGCCAGGCTGATGGCTGCCAGTACAGTGGTGGTGGTGGGAGCCTCTCTTGCCTCCTCAGCAGCGCTAAGGATGTCCGACTGCATCTTAGGCCTGCTCCCCGCTGGCAAGTGGACATCCCCCAAGGGCTGCCAGAGGGATGTCTCATTGCCAGCTTAGGCCCAATACCCTGAGGAGCAGGCCTAAGCCAGCAGGTGGTCATCCCCCAAGGGGTCCCAGACTGCAAGAGGGCACAGGCCGGGCTGAGGGCCCCCCCTCCAGTGCACAAATTTTTGTGCACCAGGCCTCTAGTAATTAATAATATAAGAATAAACTTTCACATACTCACAATTGCCAACCTAGTTTTGCCCCACCTTGTATTGTATATGCTTTATTTATTACTTACCAATCATATTTTAAATTTACATTGAAAAATTAAACATCCCTATTCTTTTTTCATTGATGGTTTTGCTATCTAGAAAAATTTTAATGTGGTAGAAATAAATCATATTTCCAAAAACAGCATATGGATATTTGTTAGTTAGATTATTTATCCTTGAGGATAGTATTGTTTCTGTCTCATCTTGACTAGCTCTTTTTGGATGTTTACTGTATGCCTGGTGCAGTATTAAGTATTTTACATGTATGAAGTTTTTTATCAGTAAAATTCTCATATACCACTTTTCAGTGGTATTATATGGTGAGTATTTCTTACAAGAGTGAACTTTAGGAAAGTGGTGCTGCATCGTTATTAGTATGTTTGAATTTCTGGTTTTATTAAAGTTAAAAATTTTGATGTCTTTAAATTAAGCTTAATTCTTTTGTAGTCTTAATTTGGATGGGTAGATATTATCTTTATTAGTTCATTAATTGAACAGAGAGCATTGTGGGGCCAGGCCCCGGGCTGGGATGGGGAACCGGGGGTGGGTGGTGGAGGACTCAGCCCCTTTCCCAGGGGGGCTGAGGGCCGGCTCCCTCCTCGGGGCTGGCAGCCAACCTCCTGTGCCCTGTCCCTCCTCTTGTTCCTCCCCGCCGCCGGCAGGCCCCAATCGGCCTGGCCCCAGTCGGCCCTGATCGCCGGCCAGGCCTAGGGACCCCACCCGTGCACAAATTTTGTGCACTGGGCCTCTAGTTATATGCTAAAATACTGCTGTAGAAATTTCAGTTTTGTCATCTTTTTCTCATGTACATTAACAATAACTATTATATTAGTTTTCACACTGTAATTTATAAAGCATAATATGGATGGGTCTTTATATTGAATATATTTATGTTTGTAGATTAGAAGAACTGGCTGTGATTTGTGCTTCTTATGGCGTTCCACATATAGTCAACAATGCTTATGGATTGCAGTCTTCAAAGTGTATGCACCTCATTCAGCAGGTAAGAGAGTTTTAAAAATATGTCAAGAAAAAAATGGATTTTAACATATATGATTAATCCTTTGTTTTTCTTGCAATCTAATATTGTAAAAACAGTTATCTAGCACCCTCTATTTTATGGAGCATTAGTATTTTGCATACAATATTCATTCAGTAAAAGTCATTTTTTGGTAGTATGGTGGTAATTGTACTAATAGCTTTGGTGGGAACCAACATAGAAATACTTCAGGAGCTTAGTTTTAACTTTCTGAGTTATTTTCATTTTTGTAATATACTGGATTATGGTATTTTTAAAACTATATTGATTTAATATGAATATTTAAGGAAAACACTTTACCTTATTATCTTAGACTGGAAATGACTTCATTTATAAACATCCTAAAATATAAAAAGCCAGGGGCCGTCACGACCAAAACAACCAGACGGATGACGGAACAGCATGCTGCGTGGGGCAACAAGGCCTGCAGGGGGGGCAGTTGGGGGCGACCAGGCCGGCAGGGGAGGGGGCAGGTAGGGGCAATCAGGTCAGCACAAAGAGGGGTAGTTAGGGGTGATCAGGCTGGCAGGGTGGGCAGTTAAGGGTGATTGGGCAGGCAGGCAGGTGAGCAGTGAAGAGCCAGTGGTCCCGGATTGTGAGAGGGATGTCCAACTGCCGGTTTAGGCCCGATCCCAGGGGTCCCAGATTGGAGAGGGTGCAGGCTGGGCTGAGGGGAATTTCATGCACCGGGCCTCTAGTTCTATTATGTAACTATGGAGTAAGAAAGTTTAAAACATTTTTGACTTATTTTATTTTTATAAGCATCAACTAGATCCCAATCATCTTATTTTGGGATTCTTATTTTGAAAATATCCTTGCGTTTTCCATCCCCATTCAAAATAAGAGTCATAGCCATGGCCTGCGGGGCTTTGTATTCAGGCCTCTGCAGCTCCTCTGCTTTCATTTCCTGCTGCTCTCCTCTTACCCATGGTCTCACTGCACATGCCTCCTTTCCGTTCCTCTGTCACATTACATGTGCGCACACCGCCAGGCTTTTGCTCTTGCTCATCCCTCTCACTGGATTGCTCTTCTAGAGTCACATGGCTTCTTTCTTCACCTTTTTTTTAGGTCAGTGAGACCTCCTCAGACACCTTATCTAAAATAACCCCTCCCTCTCCCTTGCCAGCATTTCTACCCCCCTTTTCCTGTTTTACCATTTTCATTGATTTTAAGGTGCACATTTTTTCACTTTATAACATCTCTGAAATTGGGATGTTTTACAATCATTGGCATCTTATAATGTTAATTGGCAGTTTTGTTCTTACCTAGTGGTATGTACTAGTAAAATAATGTTGCTTCTTAAAATTGATGGCCTCTTGCTCTTTTTCTCCATAGCACTTATTACCATTTAATAGGTTATTTTCTTATTGTCAAGTTATTAAGTTTCTGTTAGGGCAAGGACTTTGTTTTATTTACTGTTATGTCCTTAACTAGAGGCCCGATGCATGAAATTCATGCAAGAGTAGGCCTTCCTTCCCCCAGCTGCTGGCACCGGTTTCCCTCCGGCCGCTGCCAGGCACCCAGGATCTGGGCTTCCCTTGCAGACCCAGCTTTATCCAGAAGGTCGTCCAAAAGGACATCCAGTCTAATTAGCATATTATGCTTTTATTATTATAGATAATTAGGATGGTACCTGGTACATAATTGACACTCAATAATTAGTTACTGAAAAAAGGGAATGAATAAATGAAGCATTATATTTACTTATAGTGATTAATTATTCATACTGTATTAGGGTAGGGATAGATATTACCCCTATATGGTATGAGTTATATAATTTGTGTGCATAATGATGTTAATCACATTTAGTTTTGAAATACATATGATTTAATGTCATGTGGACACAGGTTATTCACAGATTATCTGTGGTCTTCTCCAATGTGATGGTGAATGCTCCTTAGCCCAGTAAATCTTATCTGGTAAATTTTTTGTTTTTTATTATTTGTGTATACTAGTATCATCTCTAATATACATGTGGTTTATATGATAGTAATAGCCAATTTGCTAATTTCTTTACTCAAAGGTTGTACCAGTTAGGATATAATTGGCTGAAAGTAACAGAAATTCCCACTCAAATTAGCTTAACCAGTAAGGAAATAGATTTGTTTACATAAGTCCAGGGGTGGAGTACTCTGTAGGCACTGTATGTCAGTGTTTTGTAAGAGCTACCATTTCCTTGGAATCCTTTCCTATTATTCCTTAACTTTTTTTTTTTTAATCCTCATCCAAGGATATGTTTTAATTGATTTGAGAGTGAGAGAGAAACACTGATCCATTGTCTCCTGTTCTCACCTTGACCGGGAATCGAATCCACAACCCTGGTATGTGCCCTGACCAGGAATCAAACCCGCAACCCTGAGCCACATGGCCAGTGTTTATTCTTTAACTTTTTAAAAAATAATTCATTTTTTAAAATATATTTTTATTGATTTCAGAGAGGAAGGAAGAGGGAGAGAGAGATAGAAACATCAGTGATGAGAAAGAGTCATTGATTGGCTGCCTCCTGCACGCCCCCGACTGGGGATCGAGCCCACAACCTGGGCATGTGCCCTTGACCTCGAACCTGGTACCCTTCAGTTCGCAGGCCGATGCTCTATCCACCGAGCCAAACCAGCTAGGGCTTCTTTAACTTTTTAAGGCTTCATCACAATTCTAAACTAGATTGTATCTACTTTGAGTGGTAGCAGAAGAAGGTTTTATAGTTCTTGATGCTGGAAATCTTAAAAATAATTTAATTTCAGTGATTTATTTTTATTCCACCTTCCTCATTCTCCCTTCTCTCCCCTTTTCCTTAAATTTTAGCAGCTTCAATTCTTTTAAAAGTCAAATATATCAGCATTACTAAAAGTTTAGAAAAGTGAGAAAGTAGAAGCTTATTTATAACCCTGTTACCTTAACAAATAATCATAGTAATCTATATATCTACTTTTTTCTTATTTTATATACGTTTATTGCTCTTTATATAGTTACAGTCATTGTGTACATTTAGAATTAACTTTTAAAAACAGTGAAAATATATTTAATTTTAAACTTAAACATAAACTTAAATTATCTCTACATGCCTGTAAAGTTTTATAATGATAATTTTAATGGCTCATTTACATTTACTGCAATGTTGTTTACTAACCTGGAAGTACTCTGTTTTGGTGCTCACACATATTTTTGAATACTAGAAATCTGGTGGCATATTCAAAGAGATTAAGACTCAAAGAAAATGAGCTTCAGGATATAATATAAAAGTTTCCCTTGTAGTTGTGAATCAGGAATACTGTACTCTGTCACCACTTCTCTTCATTCATGAGATGGTTTTACTAAAATTTTAATGAGATAATAACACTATAAGATAGGTGAATAAATTTTTAAAAATGTAGCTATTTTTAAAACTTGTTGGAGATACTGTGTTAACTTCTAAAATTATCATTTATTCACAATAAAATAAAGCAGTACATAAACATTCCATTTTCCCCAAAGTTCCCCTCACAAATAGAGGTGGTGGCACAGTTCCTTTGTTTATTTGTTTATTTTTATTTATTTATTTTTAATATTTTTTTTTATTGATTTCAGAGAGAAAGGGAGAGGGAGAGAGAGATAGAAAAATCAATGATGAGAGAGAATTATTGATTGGCTGCCTCGCCACCTACTAGGACTCGAGCCTGCAACCTGGGCATGTGCCCTTGACCAGAATTGAATCCAGGACCCTTCAGGGCTGACACTCTATCCACTGAGCCAAACCAGCTAGGGCGGCACAGTTCCTTTAAATCAAATAAGTACTTGGATCTTATTGAGGGCTGGTTGCTGTTTCATGTCATTCTAAAAAAAATTAGTTAGCTTTAATTCTTCCTAATAGGTTTTTATTAGTAATATATACTATTTACTCATTACCCACCATGTGCCAAGCATCCTGTTAGACTTTTCAAGTTTGTTAGCTTAACCCAGTGGTCGGCAAACTGCGGCTCCTGAGCCACATGCAGCTCTTTGGCCCCTTGAGTGTGGCTCTTCCACAAAATACCGACTTCTGCACATAGGCCACGAAGTTTCAATCGCGCTGTACGTGCGCGCCCGCAAGTGGTATTTTATGGAAGAGTCACAATCAAGGGGCCAAAGAGCCTCATGTGGCTCGTGAGCCGCAGTTTGCCGACCAGGGGCTTAACCTAACAATTTAAGGTGTACTTCTTATTGTTTTCATTCTACAAATGAAGAAGCAAACTCAGCTGGATTTAGTGACTTGCCCAAGATCCGAAACTTTTATTTTGCTCTAAAAGACAAAGTACTAAAACTGCAAATACTTTCTTGGGAAACATGTATTACAATAATGAGGCAACCAGTGAAGCAAGAGCTATAACTAAAATGTGTCAGGATTCTCTTTTTTTAAGGGGCAGTGCCTCCAAACGACTTAATGCTGAGCATACAGAACATCCTATATGCACATGTAGTCCCCAGGAAGTTAGCTTTGCAGAACCTATACTTACGATTATATACTGAACTGACTAATTTAGGAGTCTCATGGAATACGGATGTTAAGACAGCTTAATGGAGGGTAGGGGATATAGTAGAATTACAAAAATACATATAATTAATTCAGACATTTAGAGTCCGAATGGATTATAAAGATCCAAAGTGTAGGGAGCAGCAACTTTGCATATTAAGAATTTGAGAGAAGTAGGTCTTATACTACTTATTCACGGACCTAATTGTCAGTTCATTCAACAGATATTTATGGGGTTCCCACTGATGTGCCTGGCAACAGGATAGATAGATGCTAGGGATGCAGTAGTGAGTACAACAAAATCCCGTCCTTATGGAGCAGAAGCAGACAGTAAACAATAAGTATGACAGGTCTTGGTTAATGCCCTCAACGGGGGTGGGGTGGGGGTGGGGGTGGTGTCAGTAGATGGAGTGATCCAGGATCCTCTCCTGGAATCAGGCAGTTGGGAATCTGCATATGTGGAGGGCCAATTTCAGTTATTCTCCGCACTCAGTACCCCTATTCCCCGCATTGTTCAAGGGTCAGCGGTTAGTATTATTCACTGCTGCTATCCCCAGAACCTAGAACAATGTTTGGCAAATGTTAAGTGCCCACATATTTGTTGTATGAATGAATGAGTAAATGGATGAACCGATAAATGGCAACTCTTTACTTCATAGAACATACTTCTGTGTTTCCTATTCTATTTAATCGCTTCCATCCTTCAAATCTTTTTTTCCTGCTCTTTGATAATGGAGCATGAGGTCTGTATACCCTTCCTGGGATTAGGTCCAGCTTGTCTTTCCTTGCCACAAGGTGTGCTGCCCTTTCAGGGCTTTCTGTGTTTAGTGGTGAAGGGGCTTAGCAAAGGCTGGCGCACTGATTGTTCTTGGTAATTCTGCTCCCAATTTAGGTTCATGTTTCTCTCAGGAAGCCTTGGACAGTAGTACTTAAATGTTCATAAAAGGCAACTGTAACTTCCACTTTATTTTATGTACTATTATTTTGTATGTTTTTCAGTTATTTGTTCTATTAGTCTTACATGCTTCTGTTTTCCTGTGATGTGAGATTTTCTCTGATCACAGTTTATGAGGAATTAGAAGAGTAACGGGAAGGTGGAGACTTAATCATGTGATAGCCTGCAGCCTTTGCAGCTTCTCCCTGTTGCCTGGATCTGGTCTCCGAGATAGAGCAGCTCTCTGCTGCTTCCATTCTTTCTGAGATATGGACGTGGAGAGAAAGTGTGAAGCTGAAGGTCAAAGGCGGTTATATTAGTAGGAATGTAGATTCTGAATACAGATTGAAAATCTGTCCCCACAGATAAAGCAAATAAACTATCTTAGTTGAAATTTAGATAGTATCTCTATTTTTAAGAGGAGAAAATTGAAGCACATTAGACAGAAGGTCATAGACTGTGTTGGATGGGGACTGTGTTGGTTTTATATTTCTGGTAAGTAAGTATTCAATTTTTCACCAGAATATTAGATTTTCACTTGAAGTTCATTTGCAGTGGAATGAGATCATCTAAGATGATAACATTAGGAATCATGAGTTAATGTAGAAACATTGCCAAGAGTATACAAAAAAAAATCCATTAGGCGATGTTAAAAATAAAAATTTCTTTTTCTCTTTTGTTATCTGAGTGGTGGTAGGAGCAGAATTATTGCTTTGAGTGATCATGCAGTTAGTAGGTTATCCAAGAATCAAAGAGGGGCACTTCAATGTGTAGCTAATTGATTGGCAGCATGGGTGGCTGCAGTCCATTAGATTATGGTGGCCACTCTTAACCTCCCAGAGGGTGCTTACAATTACTTAATAGTTTTAGGGCCCACTGATGACATTTATTGCCTAATAGAAGATCAGAGATGAGAGGCACAGGAGGAATCCACACTCTAATACCCAATTTTAAGGTGTGAAAAGCTCTGTTTCATTGTAGTTTCCACCTGAACTAATATTGAAACCCTGCCTTTCTCACAGTGTTGTTGTGAAGATTCAATGATTTTTGTGTGAAAGCAGGTTGTAAACTATAAAGTGCTCTTACACATATAAGGCGGAGCATTTAAAAACTCAGTTTAATACTTAAAAATATATTACTGGTACTTTTGCAAAGAAATTGTTTATTTTCTGCATTATTTTAATGGTATTTATTCATTAATAGCTATTGTTGTCTCTTCTTCTAGAAATGAATATGTAAAACTACATGTTATTTCATTCTAGGGGGCTCGGGTTGGTAGAATAGACGCTTTCGTTCAGAGCTTGGACAAAAATTTTATGGTTCCAGTAGGTGGCGCTATAATTGCTGGCTTTAATGATTCCTTCATTCAGGAAATCAGCAAGATGTATCCAGGTAAATAAATTAGTTGCTCTTCAGAAAAAGTACCTAATAAACAAAAATCCATTTGTACATAGACTACTATAATAAATCTGAATTTCCAAAGCTTTTTTACTCTCCTGAGTGTAACTTGTTCTTATTTCAGGAAGAGCTTCAGCTTCACCTTCTTTAGATGTCCTTATTACTTTATTATCACTTGGATCAAATGGCTATAAGAAGCTATTAAAAGAAAGAAAGGTAAGCTTTTCCTTTTAGCTATAAAATAATACTCCTGACTAGTATTTGGACGGTACTCCAAATCATTGGTGTTTTTGCCTATTGGTTTATCACTTTGGATAATAGATATCTAGTACAGTCCTGCGGGATATACTTGATCTGGAACTACCATAGATGGTTTACAATTAGTCATTGTCATCCTGTTTATCCAGATATTTAAGGAATCTTGGACAGGTGATTTTGCTTTTTTTTGTTTGTCTTGAGAAACTCCTATATCAGGGATTCTTATTAGTTCAGTAAAATTCAATTCATTTATCATTTAGATAGAGGTTCTTGAAAGACAAATGGAAAAGGCTTTTCTTTTTAGTTTTTGGAAGCCTGGAGACTTGTTTAGGCATGAGACATCAGTCAAAGAAGGAAGAACCAGGTCAGAAGTTGGCCAGTTTCTCATTCTAAAATAATAAATTTATCCCTTGCCATTATTGGAATGTTGAACTCATTGGTTATATTGACTTTGAAAAGAAAAGTGACATTTGTGCTTGAAAACTGGGCTTTGTCTTTAACACTAAAAATTAGCTTAATTCAGGACAGCTCCAAACTGTAGACAGAGACAGTATTGTCAGGGTGAGTCAGACTAAGATGATTCATTCATTTCTCTTCTGGGAGGACTAGAGGCCCCTGGTGCAATGTTTGTGTCTGTATAACTTTTTAGTACTTAGTAGTAATTATAGCACCTTGGATTTTCTAATAATACTTTACATATTTTAAAATATTTTTATTATCAGATCCTCTCAACAGCTTTATGAATATGGATAAGTTATAAAGTTTTTGTGCCCTATTTTACCCTAGTTCCCCTACCCCACTTATTCAGTCTATAGGAAAGTAATTATTTACTTGTGAGGATATCTCTTAAAATTTACATGAATAAGAAAAGATGCTAAGTATCATTAGTCATTAGGGAAATGCAAATTAAACCCACAGTGAGATACCACTACATACACACCTATTAAAAGGGCTACTATGAAAAAAAACACAACAACAGCTACCTGACACTTTAAATCTTGGCTGAGATCTTAAGCAAGTAGAACTCAGACATTGCTGATGGTACAGCAACTTTGGAAAACACTTTGGCAGTTTCTTATAAAGTTAAACATTCACTTACCATGTAAACTAACCATCCTACCTCTTACTACTTAAGAGAAATGAGAATTTATGCCTGTACAAAAATCTAGACATCAGTGTTTATAATGATTTTATTCTTAATTGCCAAAACCTGGAAATAACTCAAATGTCCATCATCTGGTGCATAAACAAATTGTGGTACATACATACACAGCATAAAAAGGAACAGACTTACTAATATATTCAACAGCATAATGATTCTCAAATGCACTATGCTAAATGAGATAAATCAAACTCAAAAGTTCTACATTTTTTAAAAACTTTAAAAAAATTTTTTTTAAGTTCTCCATATTTTTTATATGGTTTCATTTACATGCCATGCTGGAAAAGGCAAAAAATATCAGGACAGAAAAAAGATGAATGGTTGCCAGTGACTTGGGTTAGGGAGGGAACTATTGTGATAAATTGTGGAAATAGTTTAATGACTGTTAATATGTTTTTCAAAATTAATAGAAGTGGACACCTGAAAAGTGGACATTTTAAATTTTACTGTATGTAAATCATGCCTTGATAAACCTGAGAAAAAAATTTAAATGATTAGACTAGAACTTCAGTTTGATAAACTCTCATAAAGTAATCATCATGGCCATAGATTGTAGTAGCCAAGAGAAGACCTCAAAATCTTCAAGGAACCTTCTTCAAAGGACAGATGAAGCTTTTGTTTGTAGGTGAGGTAAACTGTCACCTCAAAGTTTAGTTGTATCAGATACCAGTGGGTCTTAGCTCTTTCCTAACTAGTTGTTTCTCTATGAAAAAGGTACTTGAATTTGCAGATTTTATTTTCTTGTTTGTGAAAGAATCAACTATCTCACACCACTTCTGGTTTTAAAAAACTGTAAATATTTCTTAAAATAAAATAGTTATTTCCTGGGCCATGGCATTATAATCATGGTAATTGGCCTGTAATTTAATAATCGAGTACAAGGCACATTGGTAATTTATAAGTCAAACATTTTGTAAGGCTGAAAAATTTAAGATGATGGTCTCTTCAATTTCATGCTACCTCATCCATTTCTACCTCTGTCAGATGGCAAGCGGTAGCTCTCTTTGTAACACCCAGAACTTTGTTCTTTTCTTTTTAAAAAAATATATTTTATTGATTTTCACAGAGAGGAAGGGAGAGGGATAGAGAGTTAGAAACATTGATAAGAGAAACATCCATCAGCTGCCTACTGTATACCCCCTACTGGGGATGTGCCTGCAACCAAGGTACTGGTATATGCCCTTGACCGGAATCGAACCTGGGACCCTTCAGTCCACAGGCTGACACTCTATCCACTGAGCCAAACCAGTTAGGGCTGTTCTGTTCTTTTTAACTAGATAGAGTAGAGTGGAATAAACAGGGACAGAATAAGGATAGGATTGTAGCTACTGGGTATTAGTATGAGTCTATAGGAGTCCTGCTAGGTAATGTTCGTTATTTTAATGTGAAACCTCTTTTAGGCTAAGGGAAAAGTAGGTGGATGGGGAAAACATTTTTATGAATGTATGCTGTATTCCAGAAACTCTGCTAGGTTTATTATATTCATTATTTCATATTACTCAGACTAAGTTTCTGAGGTAGGCATTATTCCCATTTTACAAATGGAATTGAGGCTCAGAAAAGTTAAGTACTTGCTCAGGGACCACATGTAAGTGCCAGAACTGCCACTGAAACTCAGGTTAGTGTGGTGCTACCGTCTCTACTTTCTGTCTGACCACTCTGCTCTCACTGCTTCCAGTATCAGGGGAGTGTTTGCCTGCTCTGCACTAGGCACTTGAGCCATAAAAATGATGATCTTGTGACTGCCCCATTCTTATCTAGTGGAGGTATGTAAAACTCCAAAGGCTCTGTTCTGTGTTAATTGGTTTTATTTAAAATTTTTTAATAGAGACTTAGAATACAGTTTATCTGCAGTAGTAGACTTCAAGTATTAGAATGCTCATTTGAGAACTCTGTCACTGTAAGTAAATAAAATTGTTCTTTTACAACTTCATTCAACAGGCAAGTCTTTTCATTGAAAAATGTCGATGTCCTCCATAAACCATAATTGCATATATGTAGCATAAATATTGTTTTTTTATTGGATTTGTTGCAGAAGTAAGAGCCTCTGTTGTTTAAATGGACTTGCTTTTGAACTGTGAAAATTTAATCGTGATAGTTTATTGGTTCAGCTCTGGAGAAGCTGAGGCAAAGCTATTTTGTTCCAGCCAGAGCTATTTATATACCATCACTGAGAGCTCCTTTTTATATTATTGGTGTTATTGCGTACTAAAAAAAGGAGTGTTAAAAGAGAACTTGGAATTTTTTTATTCTGTGCCCTTATTCACCAGAATGATATTTTTAGAGGTTATTTCATCTAGTATATCTTTTCAGATAAGGCTTTATCTTTCTCACAGTAGAGGCAGACAAGAACTCAGCTTGAAGCCATTCCTTCTCAAGCTGTCTCTTTTGAAGGGTGAAAGGATCAGAGGAAGTGGAACTATGTGTGTGAATTGAGCCTCTTTGCCCTCAGCCCCTTCTGGATCAACACACTGCTTCATTGACGGGAGAAATGACCAGGAATTTAACTGAAACAGCCTTTAAGGAAAGAGGTTAAATTTAAGAGACTGTTTCTTTGAGTTTCTCTAAACAAACAGAAAGATCAGTCTTAGAAGTTTATCCTCCTATTTTTTGCTGGAGAAGACCATGATTCTGCTTAGCTTTCCTTTTAGAAGAGTGCTTTGTTGACAGGTCAGGCAGGTAATCATGGTTGCAAATATCTGCTGAATTGGACAAGTGCAGAAGAGGATGGCAGCGAATGACTGCTCCAGGGGCTGGAATTTGTAGTTGACACTTGGAGGACAAACTACATTATAAAAGAACATCAGACATCTAGGCCAAACAATGTTCTATAGCAAAGCTGGGTTTGGAAACATTAGAAGATCTGCAGCCCTAAACGTGGAGTGGTTGAATCTCAACAAAAGCATGAGATTTCAGGCCTGTATGTGGGACCACAACAGAAGAGTTTGAAAGCTGTACTTTAGCCTGGGATGCAAAGACTGCCGAGTGTGTCTGGATCCTTTAATTTGGCCACAATCATAGAGAGCAGCACATTGCATTTGTACTGTTATCTTCAAATATGGACATCTTTGCAGCCGGTTGTCCATCCATCCTTTCATGTTACCAATGAAAGATTAGACTATTTGTTATGTTTTCCTTTTGATGTATTACCCACCTTGTGAGGCATACTGTAGTAATATGCAAAGTTCTGTTTATATCTTAAGCTGAACATGAAACAGTATGTTTTAAAAAACATGATTACATAAGACCTTTTTCATTAAAACAGTGAATTATGCACAACTTTGGGTTATGGGGAGGGGTAGGCTGAATGTTGGGCGTCATGACTGCAAATCAATTTACAAAAGGCCATAGGAAAGGTAATGCTTAATATAATTCAACTTCTCCTCCATTAACATCTTGAACTATGGTGTAAAGTTTTGTATTTTTATTCTGAAAATATAGCTGACATTAGCATTCAGGTATACAGCTCAGTTTATCTGTAGTGAAGAGTCTTTTAAAATTAAGTTAAATACAGCAAAAATGACATAGAAAATCAATAATATTTCATTTCTTTTAAGTACAATCTCTCTATATATATTTGCTTGGGGTGCTAATAAATTTCTCCCTTTACAGAAGTATTTTATAATAAATGTCAGCTATAGATTTAACTGTAGCAAAAAAAAGCCAAGCAGGTTCTGTAGTGCCTTTAATATATCAGGTAAAAAACTGCTTAGCTAAGTATTAGTGTAGGAAATAGTGGTACAGTCTCCTAAACGATCTATTTTAAAGGTAGTGATATTAATGGGAGAACATTTAGGACCTTAATATGTGGAATATTGTAGGATTCAGTATATCGTGCTTTCAGATAATTTAAGCCTCTTTGCTTATTGGATTACCTCTCATAACCCTTTACACAGAGTAGAGATACTATAAATACTTGCAGATGGATGTGAACTTGATTCATAAATATTTTCTTTTTTTTTCTGATTACTCCCATAGTAGTGATATGAGATTTAGTTACCTTAGTATTATGCTTACTGTTTAAAGATTTTTATCCTAATGTTAGCTGCAGTTAAAACTGAATTCTAGTGGTATTAGCAAGTGATTGATAGAACTAATTTAGTTAAAACTGATGTGTTAAAGTATTTGTTAAAGTATTTTCCCAATTGAACATTGGGAAACTCAGTTTTTTAATTGACAAGTATGCAGTAATAAGTTTAAAAGCACCACTAGGGGTGTTACTAAGGAAACATTTCTCTTTTTAGAAGTAGCTAAGTACTAATTAAGTACAGTTGATTCTTGAACAATATGGGGGTTAGGGGTGCCAACACCCTGTGCAGTTCAAAACCCACATATTAACGTTTGATTCCTCTAAAACTTAACTACAGTGGGCCGTTGGTATCTGTGGGGGATTGGTTCTAGGACACCTCCCCTCATATCAAAATCTGCAGATGCCCAAGTCCCTCCTATATAAAAGGGCGTAGAGCAATGTATACAGTAGGCCCTCCATATCCATAGATTCCAAACCATGGATCGAAATACTTTTTTCTACTTGTGGTTGGTTTAATCGTGGATGTGAACTTGCGATACAGAGGGCCGACTGTATTTATTGAAAACAATTTGCATGTATGTGGCTTTGTACAGTTCAAATCTGTGTTGTTCAGGGTCAGTTGTGTTTATAAGTGTGACCACATTGGTGATTATTGTGGCAGCCATGCTAGGTAGAATAATATTTTAAATTGGTCTTCAATTCTAAAATGTGTTGTTGTTTTCTTGTTTCTATTGTGGGGGGCGGGGGGTGGCGTAGGAGTCTGTGAAAGGTATTTCTGGACTATCAGATTTATTTCTGCTGAGAGGTTGATTTATAAGAATAAGAGAGACAGGTGCAGATTAAGACTTCGGCTTGTAATAGAGATGAAAAAAATCAATATCTAAATTAAAACGTGACTTTTTAACACTGGTGTGCTGAAAGATTATGAATTGTTTCAGTTGCTGGAAAACTCTTAACTTCTTTATTCTATTTTGTTGTTTCACCTTCTGAAGTGAATATTGAAACTAGTTTAAGAAGGAGGGATCAGAAATTTTTATATGTCTAAGAAAAGATACCTACCGCAAGTGTGGTGATGGCCAGAGGGAAGGGGTCTGGCGAGGAATGGGTGGAAGTGGGTAAAGGGGGGAAGGGAATGAAAACATCTGTAATAGTGTCAACAATAAAAATTAAGTTAAAAAAAAAAGATACCTACCACAACTTTTTTTTTTTCTGTTTCTGGTGATAACATTTGTCTCCTTAAATATTTCTCTACATGCTCAATAGATATGACAAATGTGGATGTTAACTTTTTAAATATAAAAATATCAATTTCTTTTAGTGATCTAAGATTTCGTATTTCTGACATGCTGAGATTGATATTATACCCTAAAAATTCAAGAACAACAATTAGCTAAAAAAAATTTCAGGTCAGCATATAAAATATATTGTGTCAACATTGTTTTGTGGTCTTCAGTAGGTTCATTAATAATTTATAAACTTGGTAGAAATTTTTCTCTTCTCTTAATCTTTACCTAACAAAGGTTGGAGTTAGTCGTCTATGTGCTTTAGACATGAAAAAGCTATTCTGAGTCCCAGTGTGGGATCAGACTCTGCAACCCTTACCTTACAGAAAACGGAAGCAGCTTTTGTGACCTTGGAAATTAGAGAAGCATCATTTCCTGCCGTCTCCACATCAGGGTACTCTGTTGGCCCTGGGCTCTTAGGTGTATAGACTTTATAGGTTTTGACTTTGGCTGGAGGAGGTCAGTGCAAATGAGTTGTTCAGGGGCAGACTTTTGTGGACAGATTTTCATTTCAAAACTTTGGAAAGGGCTTACTAGGAGAAAAAAGTATAATTTTAGGTCACACAGTTGCCAATTTAATATTTATATGTAACTTGGTTGAACTCCCACTTCTTACATGTGCACATGAAATTTTGTACTTATAAAAATATTTTTCCTTTATTTTCTACTATTAACTGTGCATTGTTTTCTAGAGTAGGATCATGAATACAATATTTAGTTTTTAGTTGCTCTTTTTAAATTGAGTTTAGAGAATTGTTAATATTAAGTTTATATAATTTAAAAGAAATGCATTTTAAACTACCTCTTCCTAAGTTACTATCATTCTAAAAGCTTGGCACATTTTTCTTGGTGTTGAGGAAATAGTGGTGAAGAAGTCAGAGTCCTTCCTTTCAAGGAGTTTTTCCATTCTAGTAAGTTGTCATAAGCAGTATTCATTTAAGCAAATAAATGAGATAATTTCAGGTTGTGGTATGTATAATACACCAAAATAAGTAATGATGTTGGAATGAGATTGAGAGTTGAGAATGGACAGTCTTCGAGCAGCTTTAATGGGGAAGTAATAAAGGAAGGTCTCCTTAGTCTGTGTCAAAAGGGACCACTCACGGAATGACTGGAGAAGAGCTTCTGAGTCCAGGGGAAGCAGGCATGAAGGTTCTGACACTAGAATGAGCTTGGCATGTTCAGCTGTTGGAAAGGAGGCCGATGTGGCTGGCACTGTAGTAAGTTGCTGAGTTGTGCTTGTTGGCTGAGCCAGATCATTCAGGGCCTTATGGGTGAAGAGTTTGTATTTTTATCCTTACAGGAGGTAGTCATTGGGAGGGACATGGCCTGATTTATGCTTTTAAAAGACCATTCCGTGTGTAGAACAGATTGTTGAGGGGCTGGAAGGGCGGCAGGGAAATCATTTAGAATGTATTGTTGTGGTCCAGGGCAGAGATCGACAGCTACTTGGACTAGAGCAGGAGCCCTGGAGGTTCTGAAAAGAGGATGAATTTGTGACGGATACGTGATAGCCCCAAAGCAGGAAATGTGCTGGTTCATCGCCTTCTTTACCTAAATCCTGTGGTTTCTGATAATTGTGGCAGCTTTGAATCTCACTATAGTGCAGCAAAGTAAAGAATTGCTCCTGGGGCACATGAATGAGTTTAATTTAATTTATGTCACAGACTTGACACCAGTCAGATTTTGTCTTATTAAATTTGGCAGGTTTCAATACATACTTATTTGATTTTCAAGTGTAACATTTTCTTATTGCAGGAAATGTTTTCATATTTGTCTATCCAACTGAAGAAGCTGGCCGAAGCCTACGATGAAAGACTGCTGCATACACCTCACAACCCCATATCTTTAGGTAATTTTTTTCCTTTAAAAGGAAAATCAGCACTTCTGAACCATCCCCAGCAGGAAGCTGGTATTTCTAGAATGAGTATGAATTCCTTCTGGTTACAATGATATTTCTAAATTTATTACAGTATTAATTTGTAAATTGAAAAGGTTTAGTTAGCCTTTGGAAATGCTTTAATGTATTTCTAAGATTTAAAAAAAAAACCTATATTCTGAAAGAATCCAAATCAACATTAAGTATTATAGCAAATAGACAGAAAATAATACTTTAACTCCTGCTTCTAATGAAAATCATTTGGTTGCTAGTAAGAACTCGATATAAATATTAAAAATTTCTGTCAGTTAACAAACACCATAATATTAGAAGTTAAAGCTATTCTTATGTTGTTTTTAATGCTATTATTGTTTGTTTTCTTGAGCATCTCTGTGTTAGCGAATTCTACATTTATGGTAATTTTCTTTGTGTAGGGGCTATGATTTTTGTCATGTAGACAAGAACTGCTGAATAGCATAATATGAATGTTGACTTTTATGCAATTAAGTAACTTGTGAGCTTCATTATATTCCTTTTACTTTGTGAATATGTGCAGTGTAATATGCTTCATATTTTAGGTATATCTGAGGAAAGTTAGTAAATAGTCATTTGTCACTTAAACCTTTTTCAGGAATGGCTTCCGTGGAGAACTATTTGGCCCAGCCAGTCCTTTGTTGGTTTATAATTTATGTAGATGCTATAGAAGGTGATGTGGTATAATTTGAATCCCAGTTCTGCCATGTACTAGCTCCTAACTTCCTTTCCCCATCTATAAAATAGAGATAATAATCCTCACGTGCAAAATTATTAAAGAATGGTTGAGATTATATTTGTAAACTACCTAGTATGGTAAGTCCATCCTTAGGAAATGTTACCTAGTATCAGTGATTGGTGGTATGAACAGAGTGCAGTTTACTCACATAATCTCATAAAGATAATTTTCATTTTCATTTGCAGAAGTTGATCTTATTTAATATTTTATATGTGCTGAAATATATCCCACTTTCTCATTTTACAAGTTCTTAAAACATGGTTGAATTTGACTAAACTGCCATATTGATCATGTCATAGTTTCATCTGTTTAATTGGAAAATTCACTCTTTAGAGAAGTGATACGGAAATTCTGAGTATGTTAATTTATATTAATGTATTTTTGTCTGATATGCAAGCAAATCCTTACTATAATTTATTAAGTGCATACCAATCATGCCACTTGACAATGAATAAAAAGTAATGTCTCTGTGAAATAAACTAGTTACAAAGAGACAAATACTGAGTGATTTCATTTATATGAGGTACTTAGAGCAGTTAAAATCATAGAGACAGGAAGTATAATGGTGGTTGCAGCGGCTCAGGGAAGAGAGAATTGGGAGTTATTTTATAATAGGTATACAGTTTCAGTTTTACAAAATTATAAGAATTATAGGGATGGATGGATGGATGGTGGTTGCACAACAATGTGAATGTATTTAACAATACTGAACATACCCGAAAAATGGCTAACATGGTAAATTTCATGTTATGTGTATTTTAACACACACAAAAGTAAGTATACAGTTTCAGTTTTACAAAATTATAAGAGTTATAGGGATGGATGGATGGATGGTGGTTGCACAATGTGAATGTATTTAACAATACTGAACATACCCTAAAAATGGCTAACATGGTAATTTCATGTTATGTGTATTTTAACACACACAAAAGTAATGTCTTCATTATTAAGTGTTGTTTTTTGAGTGATTTTTTGCTGGTGAACCAAGGCTCACTGTGGTGCTTTTTTCTTTTTCAGCTATGACACTTAAGACACTAGATGAGCACCGTGACAAAGCTGTCACTCAGCTTGGCTCAATGCTTTTTACCAGACAGGTTTCTGGAGCCAGGTAATTATTCTCAAAAGCTTGGATTGATTTGGCTTTTTAAATTATTTGGCTAATAAAGTACCTTTCTTTAACAATAGTCCCCTAAGTATATGCTGAACTACCCCTGAGAATTCATCGTGGAATAAATATTGAGGTCGAGAATCTATAAGTCTATTATATGCCCACCTGTGGACTGCCTACACTTCAAATAGACACAGAAAGATATGAATCTTGTTTATTTTAATAGACATACAGAAACAAAAGTTCATTACCTCTCTATGTTTGTCTTTATTTTCTTTTGTTAGATAATCTTCAGTGATGTCACTTAATGCTGTTAGAAATGTCATTTTCATTACTAAATTTAAGTGAAAGTGTTTTGTTTCTTTTTAATTAAATCTTTATTGTTCAGGTTACATTTGTTCCTCTTTTTTTCCCCCCCATAACTCCCTCCTTTCTTTTTTTTTTTTTTTTTTTTTTGTTAGATAATCTTCAGTGATGTCACTTAACGGTGTTAGAAATGTCATTTTCATTACTAAATTTAAGTGAAAGTGTTTTTAAGGAAAAGCCCATGTCCTAAACTAAAAAGGTTATGCAATTCTTGTCTAAGTACTGTCTTTGAAAAATGTACATTTTGCTCCTTTATGTACCTGGTTTAAAAATTAATTTCATTTTTAATTTGATGATGTCAAAGAAGAATGACTTGTAAAGAAATACCTTGTTCTAAGTATTCCTATTTACATTCTTCTATTACTTTCCTCTGACTACCAGAGGTTAGAGATTTCACATCAAAGGACAACTTTTTAAAATAAAAAAAATTTTAGGAGAATTCAGCTTTTACCTTGATATAACACAGCATAGTTTGATACTTCTAAAATGGTTTTCTTAGCTTTGTTTTTAGTGTTGCCACTATTTGTCTTTATGTTTAAGTTTGTCTTAATTGACTTCTTTGAGAAATAAAAAAGGACTCTTAGAAATCTGCTTATGTCAAGTGTGCCAATGAAATCAAGCTTAAAAAAAATGCGTGTGCCATTACTGATTGCTGACCACTGCCCCACTGTAAGCACTTACATAATTTCTTTTGGATCCTTGCTTTAAAACCCTTATTGCATAGCACTGATCAGATAGGTGTAATTTTAGTTTCTGATTATTTGAGGTGATACATGGCAGTTAATCAAAGTGATTTTGATGTACTAGTTCCACCATTCCATTAAAGTTTATATATATGTGAAGTCAGATTCCATATTTGCTACAAAAACAATTTTCTTTTAACTCTTTGAAGAAGATGTACAGGTGTCTGCAATCCCTAGAGTTTGTACCTCTTTAATAGGAGATAAGTAAATATTAATCACTTTTCCATGTAAAATTGAGTGTGTTGTATACTGTTTAGTTTAAGGCTGACAGTCTTTTTTCATAGACCATGATTTAGGGCTGTTTATAAACTTCTTAAGAAGTAGATGTAAGGCTTAGTAACATAGCTATCTTTTGTTTGTGGGTGATACTCTAATACCACCAGACATATCAAATTGGTAAATTTTTTTCATTTTAGAGTTGTGCCTCTCGGGGCTGTGCAAACTGTGAGTGGCTACACTTTCCGAGGCTTCATGTCACATACAAATGATTACCCTTGTGCCTACCTCAATGCTGCGTCAGCCATCGGAATGAAGACACAGGATGTGGACTTGTTCATAAAGAGACTGGACAAGTGCTTCAAGATTGTAAGAAAAGAACAAAATAGAGAGAGTGATGGATCTGGAGTTGACAATGACCAAACTGAAGATGTGGTTATTGAAGAAATGGGTTTAAAACTAGAGAATGTATCTCTTGACAAGTTTGAGAATTCTTCTTCATGACATGTGAAGGGTTTCTTTTTGATAATTTGAAAGAAATGATGAGGTGACAGTATAAGCACGCAGTTTAAAGACAAGTCTTGAAATTTTTGAATTGAGAATGTCATGGAGAATGTTTGGTCAAGGAATAGAATATGGCCTGATTTAGCCATTGATGATTGTTATATTTTTTATTCTTAGATAGCCTCAAGCATTATGATCCTTAATGGATTATAATACACAATTAGCATTTTTCTAATTGTGAAAATATTTGTCAGTTAAGCATTATGATTCAGATAATTTTTACTAATCTAAGAGCAGTAAAATTACCACAATACTTTTTGAAATGTGTAGACTGTTTCTTCCTAACTATTCTCTACCATTCACAAATTACTTTTGTTTCTGATCACACAGAATTTAGAAAGGTCTCTAATGCTACTAATTTCTAGATATTTGTGGATGTATGCAAGTCACAGTGTACCTGTAAAATGGACACTTCCCAGAGGCGCGTAGTCAAGGGGTAAGCTTTAATTTTCTCTCAACAGCATTGGTTCTCAACTGGGGATGAGTTGCTTATATCCAAGCAAATATCTGGGACATTTTTGCTTATATCTGGGATATTTTTGGTTGTTATGACTGGTGGGATGCTATTGACACCTAACATCCTATAGTGGACAAGACAACTTTCCAAAACAAAGAATTATCCAACTCCTAATCTCAGTAGTGCTGAGGTTGAGAAACACTGCTCTAAAGTAAACTAACTCCTCAAGGGAAGAATTTTCCATAGTGCTTCAAAGAAGATAGCTCTAAAGTGTTATCTGTCTATATGGTATAGACTTCTGGGTAGTAACCAGCATTACCAGTTCTAAATATGTAATTATAAATTGTTTTATATGGCACTTGTGCATCTTTCCATTTGGGTAAATGAAAACTTTATTTCACTGTTTTTGCTTTAAGCAGCCTTTGAATATTGGTTAGTGTGCCCAGGTGTTGTGCACAGCCATTAGAAAGAGTGGTTAACCATGGGTATTTCTGAACATATATTGCTAGGGAAGTGAAAATGATGTAGTGTGATAAACAGGTTTACCCCCCCCCCACCCCCGACCCTGCCCACATGTTCACTTTCTGAGTCTGAAATTCCAGACCTATTGGCTGTAACAATTATTTGTGTCATTGAAGAAATGGACTGATGTCTCCTAGTCTGAGGAATTAGTGAAGCTTTTGAATACACCAAATGGTGAAACTGTGTTTCTAAAGTCCTGCTCTGTGATGTGTTGTTCCTAAGAGGTGCTCATGGGGATAAAAGATCTTGTGGACAAATAATTTGGGGACTTTGCAGACCTGCTTATTGGCATAGTAAAGGTTCTAAGAATTCCTTTGAAACCACTTTGAACATATCCTTATCTGAAGACTTATTGACATCCATTGAACATACTTTTGTAAACACTGCACTAGAGAATCTGCCTTGATTTCTGGGTTGTGTTTTTCTCTCTTGATTGGCAATGTGTGTTATTAAACATGAGCTTAGACAGATACACTCTCACTAAAGTATAAGTTAGAACACTTTAGACCAGGGGTGGGCAAACTTTTTGACTTGAGGGCCACAATGGGTTCTTAAACTGGACCGGAGGGCCGGAACAAAAGCATGGATGGAGTGTTTGTGTGAACTAATATAAATTCAAAGTAAACATCATTACATAAAAGGGTACGGTCTTTTTTTTTTTTAGTTTTATTCATTTCAAACGGGCCGGATTCGGCCCGAGGGCCGTAGTTTGCCCACGGCTGCTTTAGACACTGGCTTGACAACCTTAGGAGTCAAGACTGTTGAGATAAAGTACTTAATTATAAATGTCATATATCTTTAGAGTTCAAATATTGTAAAGATCTGTTTTAAAAAAGAGCTTTAACAACTTATTTTAAAGGAGTAAATCCTGGATTAAAAGTTGCATCATGTTTTCTATGTGAATTTGGGACTGAATTGTAGAACCATAAGCTGAAGTGTCTGCACAGAACCTCTGGAGTCTGTGAAAGGGAACGAGGTGATGTTGCCGGTGTAAATGCTGACAGTGCACTTGTCTGTGTGTAAGCCAGAACTGCTTTACAGGCAAGTGATCGGTATTGTCATCTAAGAAAGGCCAGAGCAGAGAGACTAGCAAATGTTTCTTCTGCAGTGTATCGGCAGCTCTTAGGCTTCAGCTGCTGAATAGATAATCACCCTAATTGAAGATAAATTACATGAGCCCACATGTGAATGATAGATGTGTTATAACATTTCATTCCTGGTGCATAAAATCAGCTGTGCATAAAATGCAGTGTTTATTATTAGCACTTTCTTTTCAGAGGCTTTGGAATTCCAGTTCTATTCCTGCTGGTTTCAATTTGACCTTGAGATCATAGAATTCCTAAGAGTTTTTGAAGAGTTGTTGTAGGTTCTGTATATACAGGCTTTCCTTTACCTTACCCCAATGTTGTTTTCCTTGCTCTCTCCCATTTCCACATGTAAGTATGAAAAAGTATGTACAAACAGTTGTTTATTTTAAATTGCTAGTACTGATTGGTAACCCTCCTCATTGGCCTTAGTTGTCCTGAAACTGGCAGGGGCCAAGGATGATGCCTTTCTGTCATTGACTAAGGTGGCCTCTCTGGTTTTGTGACCCAACTGCTCTTCCTTAGGCTGTCAGGTAGAGTTTTGGAGTTGGGTTTTTAAAGTCACTGTGCTGTGGTAGTCTGCCCAGAAAAGAAAATTGAATAACACAAAATATTCTTTAGGTCACTACACAATGTGTTCCTTATACACACAGAAGGGAAAGGTATTTTAAATCCAACTCTCAATTTGGCTCTTATGTTCTCAGCTGATGAATTCTCACTCTGTCAGGGAATGACATGTGATACCAGCCTTAGGAACTCAGTGTTCAGCTATAAATCTTTCTAGTTAGCTTTGTGTATTAGATGAATGAAGCTATAGAATGTGAATTATTGAATACAGTTTTGTTCAACCAATAGGCACTTGATATACAGAATGGTAAATTTAAATATAAATTAACTTTTTTCAGTGTTTTGCCCCAGCATATAACGCTGCTGTGGCTCTGTTTTTTTTTTCTTTCTTTTTCTTTTTCTTTTTTTTTTCTTCTTAAATGGTCCCAATGGTTACTAGATTACAACAGTGGTGAGATCCTATCCAGAGCCCAACTGGAAGACGGGACAACCCAACCCATGTCAGGAACATCAGATTGAACTTGTATGCGAAATCCTTCCCCAAATAATGAAACCTGAACACCCCAGAAGCCATGGGCAAGCAAACATCAGTCTGAGGATTCCTTCGCCTCATCTTCATTGCACTGCGGAGCATCTCCAGATAGCAGTGCAGTTGCTGGATCAGTGGAGTTAGCCTTGGAGCAACAAGAACTTGCTGGGAGAAATCAGATCTTCCAAACTGAACATGCTTGGCAACAGTTGGGTAAGACTACAGCATTGAGTACTGACAGTGTAGCATCAACAATGGCACAGAAAATACTGTCAGTTTTTGGACATACTGAGGAGCACAAATCACCAGGCTCAAGATGCAAAGAAGAAGCTTCTGACAGACCAATAAGCTGTTATCCCTGAGTAACCTGTTACAAGATAAGTCTGGCAAGGTCCTACCAATGCAGGCTTTTCGAAGGTACAGTAGGTGATAGCTCCTTGAATCCTAGAATTAGCATGATCATAGTAGTGCTGAGCACTAGTAATAGTGGCAAGTGAAAAACCAGACAACAAATTCTCTTGGGTAGCGCCACACAGATCTTCAATAACTCTCTCTGAATACCTAGCATCACCGTTTGTGTGAATAATTATCTACAAACATGGCAGAGGTCTAGAACGACCTCAGAGGGAGTGTCCTGAGAGAGAACAAGTACTTTGGATACAAACACTGCTATATATGCCTTCAGGAGTACAGACAAGTGCCAGTTGGGGCTTGTGAGCAAAGACCTCACGTTATGATGAGCTTGACAAGGAGAGGTTTGGCAAAATTCTATGGTTTTCTTTACCTCAGTGATTGTTGTCCTGATTGTGCCTAGAGGCTTCAGCATTCTTAGTAAGGAGTCCACGTCAGGCGCTTGCACCTCTTGACTATCAACCCTGGTAATGTTTAGCCGCCTCATTAGCCGGGTGGCATCAGGACTTATCATCGAAATCTTACAAAAAGTAACTTAGAAATGAGCACCTCCCTGAGTGATATGTCTGGCTAAGCTATAACAGGAGTCAACTTGAGCTTAAATGCTAGATGGAAGGTCTCATTGACATCAAGCAGATTATAAATGGCCTTAGTGACCCACCTGAGGGTTGGAGAAGATTTGGTATGTAAGAGGCAACTCTGATATACCTGGCTACAGACAAGACTTTGCCTCTATATTTTTGCCCCATGTACCAAAATGGCACAAATATAAACAGTCCAGGGAGAGAGGCAATATGGCTTAGGGACAACTTCTCCAAGTGTTTAGGCGATTGACCCGAGTCAAGAAGAGTACCCAATTCTTTAACTTCTTGAGCAAATGATAAGAAGATTTCTTCTGCTAGCCTATAGGACACTGCAATTGCTGGATCGCCTTCCCGTGACGGTGTATGAGTAGTAGTCTCAGTTGGCAGTTTTGAGAAAGGAATCCCTGGATAAATAGGTCTCCAGCTTAAGCTACACCCCTTCTCTAAGATCTCACGGGTATAGGAGTTGCATGACAGTGTTGGGTAGAACGCTTCTTCTGGAGCTCATGACAGTGCAGTATTGAGGCAAGGAGGTTGAAACCATGTATGAATGCTGCTTGAAAATGTAGCACATGGTCACGTTGCAATTTGGCAAAGTCTGCCATGTAGTCAGTCAGTAGTGAACATGACATGGGTTGATATGATGTTTAAGGACCCAGTGAGTCCAGATCGGTCATCCAAAGCTGTTGGCAGCCACTTGTCAGCATTCCACCCAACACTAGGAACATCAGGTAGAATCACACCCTTGCCCTCAAGCAGGCAAGATAATAACTGCTTCAAGTTTGGGCCAACAGATCTGAGGAGCTTAAACCAGTCACATGCGGCTGTGAGGTCTTCAGCCATCTTGCCTAGCTTTCCCTCTGATAGGCCCGTAATTGCTTCTTGGTTTATCTTAACAAATGTTTGTGAGCCTATATAACCCAGCATCGTGGTTCTAGCTAAGTCTCCCCCTTTTAACCCAGGATCGTGGTAGGCCTTAGGTTAACTGGTGTCTGGCTCTGTTTCTTTAACCACCCCGTAATGAGAACTTTAATGAGGCCTAAGCTATAGGATGTGCTTTTATTTTTAGACGATATGCCTAGGATAGGTTTTAGTAAAATTTACATTAAACAAAGGTAATTTTTTTTAGCCAGTGATGTTACTTTAATATTGAATAAGTAGCTCATTGCGAGAGTTAAATTCTTGTGTTCTTTCATGGAGGAAAATAGCCAACAATTGACACCACCAACAAATGCGGATCAGTCTCATTTTATATACATTCAGAGGAATTGTTTTGCATACATACCCTTTGGTGCATTTAAAAGTTGGGTTTTCTTTTCCCACTTTCTAAGATGTACTGATTCCTACCAAGCCTTTAAATGGTTTTGTTATCCTGTGCACTTCATGAGGCCAACCTTACTTTGTAACTAAAAAGTAATCCAGTTTATGTACAACAAGCATGTCAAACTCAAAGGCTAACACAGGCCAAATAAACGAGGCATGCGGCTCGCAGACCGTGGGTTTGACATGCTTGATGTTCACAGAAGTTTGATAGCCTCTGAATAGTTTGATAAGAACAATCAAATTTGCTGGTAACAGTAAAAAAACCCCAAGACCTCCTGTGAACTGTTTTCGTCCTTATCTGTCACATTATGTGGATTATATGCCTTTTATGGCCGGCCGCTCATAACATACAGGACTAAGACTTACCCACTGCATCTTTTAGTGCCTTTCTTTTTTCACCGTCATGCTCCTTTTGGCCATTATGGTATATACACATGTAAGATGATGAGTTCAAGGCTAACAAATATATCTTTATAATTTCCTACCTAATATTCTACAGTTCAATCTAAGGCCTTATGCAGAATGGAAATCTATTCTTTTTATCAAGTGGTATCAACTTGAACTTTTAGAGAAATGTAAAGAAACACTATGTTTAACTGTGTAATTGTGGGGGGTTTTAGCCATTAGAATTGAAGCTGACATCAGCCTGCTAACCTATTTGTTTTACTAAAGGAGAAAGATGTTTTCAAAAATATTTTTTGCTGTAGACTGTTTAAAGATAAAAATGAATTATATAATTTATTACATGAAATAAAATGTTAAAAATCATTAACAGTACATTGTATCATTTCACCTAATCATTGCTACAGATAAAATCTGTAAGTACAGATAATTAACAGAAAATTACTTGCCCACTTTTTTAGTCAATATCACCTTGCCTAGATATCTGCAAGAAAAGTCATATTTACAATGAAAATCATGAGTCATAGGGGGTGGGAGTGGTTAGATTTTTTTTTTAAAGAGGAAGGAAATGACATTCCAGCAACCTTTTTGTAAAGGATATATTGACTGTAGACAGTTGGGTGCTTAGAAGATAGTCTTTCCTAGAAGAAGCACTTTATCTTTATTTGAAAATAAAATAGATTAGTATCACTTCCTCAGCAGATTTCATTTCTAAATTGTGCTGTTTGAATTTTATAGGAAGTTCTCATTTCATTTGGAGTTAGATTTCTGCACTGGTACATATTAACCATGTGAGCTCACATATTTAACTTCTCTGAATCTTGGTCTCATAAGTGAAATGGGTACAACCTTATAGGATTGAGGACTAAATGAGATGATAGTATATGTAAATGGTTAACTATGAGTGCCTGAAACAGCACTTCCATTAATAACTGCTATAATGCTCTGCACACAGCTATACTACACCAAGTGCTGCTAGATTTTAATTAAAATATATTCATTGTCTAGTTTAGTAGAACTTTTATTTTATTTTATTTTTGAGAGGGAGTCATCAATGAGTTTTGTCCACTCTCCAGTGGAAATTAAAAAGTATATAGTTGGTTTTAGATGGCCATCTCTTTTTATTTCAGTTTTGGTTTTTATGAGTGAGTTACCTTTTGTTGTGCATTTATACTTGAGAATATTCTAAAGAAAACAATATTTAAACTGCACTAACTATGCACCTGAAATGTCAGATTACGACCCAGGAGGGATTATAGAAAAAGTTAGTGTTACAGTGACTTCCACATCGGTTGTATTGTCTGACCAAAGTTTTTGGTATAATCAGCAGATCTGCAAGCATGGCAGTAGTTCATTATAATTAGCCCTATTCTCAGAAGACCATAGTGGAATGATTGATCATGGCTCCCAAATTTACATCTTTAGCAGACCTCCTTCCTGAGCTCCACACTTCTGTGAAACTGATCATTTCGTGGATGTCTAACGGACATCTCAACTTCTACATAATTCCTTGATCTTACCCCCAAAACCTGTTGTACCCACAGCCTTCCACACTTGAATTGATCACACTTCTTCCAACTGCTTAGGCCAAAAACCGTGGACTTATCCTCAACTTCTCTCTCACATTCTACATCTAATCTACCAAGAAATCATGTTGGATATACCTTAGAAACGTACCCAGAATCAAACCAGTTCTCCACTCCTCTGTGCTACCAAGCAGGTCTGAACTGCCAGTGTTTCTTGTCTGGGTTACTGCAGTAGCTCCCTCCCCATCTTGCTTTCAAAGGCTACAGGCACTTTCTGCCTCAGAGCCTTGGTTCCAGCTACTCCCTCTGCCTGCAAATATCTCAACCCAGATGCTTGGCCAACTCCTGCCTCTCCTTTATGTTTTTAATCAGTTTCCCTCTTCAATGAGGTCTACCTAAACTACACTTTTTTATACTGTAGTTATCGCCCCCACTTTAACATTGTCTAAAAGTTGTCTTAGGATTGAGAGTGGAGCCAGGCTGGTGTGGCTCAGTGGTTGAGCATTGACCCAGGAACTAAGAGGTTGCCAGTTTGATTCTGGGTCAGGGCACATGCCCAGGTTGCAGGCTCGATCCCCAGTGTGGGATGTGCAGGAGGCAGCCGCTCAATGATTGTCTCTCATTGTTGATGTTTCTATCTCTCTCACCCTCTCCCTTCTTGTTTCTCTAAAATCAATAAAAATATTTTTTTTAAAAAAGATTAAGAGTGGAGCCTCAATATTACTGTGCATAAGAGTCACGTGGCTTCTTGGTAAAATGCAGATTTGAATTCAGTAGGTCTGGGGTGAGGCCTTTCCAGCAAACCCCTGTGTGATACTGTTGGCCTGTGGACCACACTGAGGAGCAGAAATCCAGCATACTATGTAATGCGAATATTTCTTAGGTCCTACTGTTTGTCTCCCTCCCTCTCTGAAGAACAGAAGCTTCACCAGAGCAGGACCTTAGTTCTGTCCACTCCTGTCCCCAGCACCTAGACACCTGGCACATGACCGACACCCAACTTGGGTGTGAATGGTTCAGTAGGCATTACATATTCATGCAACTGTGAAACCCCATCTTGTCTGATTGAAACTGTTCAGTGGTTTTCCACTGCTTTTAGAACAGGGCCCTAAAAATTCTATCATGTGTGGCCAACACAAAAGGAACTGCTCTGCTCTCCCTTCAAGAAAAGGCCTGCCACCGCTGCAGGGGTGTGCTTGGCTGACAGCCTCCCTGCTCTTGGCTCCTTCAGGGTTGGTCAAAACTCGGTGTTTGAGCCAAAGTCAAGCTCTTGGTCAATTCCGGAGCAGGGTGGTGGTAGAGGGCCGTGGCTCTTTCCACCCGATGCGACTCCTCCAGCAGGCAGGCTCCGCTTCCAGCCCCCTGGGCACTGACTGAACTCTGGGTCTGCATCACAGGCTGATGGCTCCCCTGCCCGGCCTGTCCCCCTTTTCTGTTATAGGGCCTTACTTCCCCATAAACCTTTTGTACTCTATTTTTTTTTAGCTTTTAAAAATATTTATTTTTAAATTATAGTCGACATACAATATATATCAGTTTCAGGTGTATAACAGTGATTAGACATTTAAGAGGTGATCACGAGAAATCTAGGATCCATCTGTCACCATACAGAGTTACTGTGATGTTATTGACTGTATTTGCTGTGCTGTACTTGACATCCCATGACTTACTAAAAAGCTGAGTGTTATTCCACACTCCTCTCCAAAACATTTGGTCATAGAGGCAGAAAGTACTTATAGCTAGAAAGCTGTCAGAAAAAAAACCTAAAACAGAGCAAAACCAAACTTCTCTGTGGAGAAGTGAACTGGAAATGTGCCACCCAGAGCTCCTGGGATCCAGTGATTTAATGAAACGCCCCCTTTGAAGCTGTCCCAGTAAGAAAACAGGCTCCGAGAATGCTGCTCAAGTCAGACTCAGTACAGAGCCACAAGTGGCCAATGACAAGGCAGGGGCTGGTCGGAAGCAGGCAAGATAAAAAGTTGATCCAGAAAATATGTCACACCTTTTAGGTAAACTTCCTTTGTTTCCCTGTAAAATGCATCTACTTCACCCTGGCTGGTGTGGCTCAGTTGTTTGGAGCGCTTGATTCCTGGTCAGGGCACATACCCAGGTTGTGGGTTTGATCCCTAATCAGGGCATATCCAGGAGGCAACTGTTTTCTCTCACATGGGTTTTTTTTTTCCTCCCTTCCTGTCTCTCAAATAATTTTTTAAAAAATCAACCTTTAAAAAAAAGCATCAATTTCTCTTTGTTCCTTCAGTTTCCCCTGCCTGCTGTCACCATGTCCAGTTTATCCCCTATTTGTCATTGCCAGTGACTCAGACCATCCAGGGAGAGAGTGGGTGGTGTGGTGTGGTGAGGGGCTGGGCATGGGAGATAGGAGCCTTTTGCACAGCAACCCCTCATAACTTTTCTTGAAGGCTGATAAAAATACTCTTCAGTTTTAATCTGCTAATTAGAAGTAAATGGACCTGTTAACATTAGGAAAGTCAGCATTTTTTTGTTTGCATTTATGATCATTGTCTATTTTCCATTTATTTCCCATCTATTTGCAATAAGTGTATTTTTGAGCCAACTTGGTTTATGCACTTTCCCAGGAAAAAATAAATAAAAACCCACAATGAACCAAGCTGCTTATATAGCCATCCCCACGGAGCCCAGCGCTTCCTAGGCATGAAATTGACTGACGCACACAAAGGCACCAGGTGCGGGGCCACATGCCACTTGCCGCCTTTTTTTCAGTGTGTGTTCATAATCAGTAAATGGCTGTGGATGTTTAAATGGTTCCCTAATACTGATGGAGAGCGGATGCCATTATAACTTGAACTTGTATCGCCACGCAGATGGTGGAAATAAACATCCAATTCTGCACACAGTTTTGTTTGTCTCTCACTTTTGAAAGACGGACTGAGTGTCAGGCCTACACGGTTCCAGCAGGGGGACTCAGGCGGGGCTGGGGCACCGGAGAGCAGGGCTGCTGTCAGATTCCAGATTGGCGTTTGTGTGGAGAGCCCCCAGGGCAGCCGGCTTCCGGGGGAAGTAGGAGGGGGTTTAGTGTAACCCCACCCCAGAGTTACCAGGCAGCAGCTCCAAATACCTCTTCACACTCAAGATGTACCTCATACTCTTGACCTTCTCTATTACAAAACCATTCTGAACCCAACCATCCCTCCTGGAACTCCCTGCGCCTTGCTCTGCACCTTCCACTTTTCTAGACACCTTGAAAAATACGGGTGGTTCAGCACAGTGGTGATGGCACCAGATTCAATGGCACCCACCTGGCCTCCCTTGCCTGTCCCTCGGATGGCCTCCCTCCTGGGGATCATTAATCTACG